GAAGCAGTTTTTTCCAGTCTCTAGTATGCTTTGGCCACTTGTCATTGACTCTCAAACAGAAATCATGCTATTTGCCCGAGATTGTATATTTGCCCGAGGTTGTCGTTACCATTGGCTGTTCCATCTTATCCTCCCATGCTGTTGCTATTTGCTATTTGCCCGAGGTTGTCGTTACCATTGGCTGTTCCATCTTATCCTCCCATGTTGCTATTTGCCCGAGGTTGTCGTTACTATTGTAATTGGCTGTTCCATCTTATCCTCCCATGTTGCTATTTGCCCGAGGTTGTCGTTACCATTGTAATTGACTGTTCCATCTTATCCTCACATGCTGACTTGTTGTTCAGTGATAAATAGGTCCATATTTTCTTGGATGATCTGGGGTATTCTTCTTCCATAGTTTGGCATTGTAGTTAGTGGTGTTATAAACGTATGAATGATAAAAGTCTGTGTATGTTGATTCGATTTGTTGTCAGTGCTTGAAGCGGGTCAAGATAAGGTGATAACGATACTGATGGATAATTTATCGTTCCACCAGTTAAAATTGTACCTGTTGTCACACGAGACCGACTTATCATGATCATTATCATTTCAATATTCAAGAGATGCTTTTCTCAAAGTTGTATCAATTTTAATTTTTGAAGTTTCGCTGTTATCAAAGTGGGCAGTACTTTCTACATCACGCTGGCTTTCGGTTTTAGAAATTTTTCAAGGCAGTAACGTCTTCTTTCGATGCATATCCCCTATGAATATTAAAGCAAAAAAGGTTATATACAATCAGTGAACCCTGTTAATCCGAATTACCCGTTAACCCGAGCTATTCTTTAATTACCTCGCTAAACCGAATAATAATAATAAATCCACTCTAAACTGTAAACCGAAGGTTTGTAGAATTCAGCTATATTGAATTTACTCCGATAATCCGAATTTTCCGATGTGTGAACCAATAAAATCGCGCATATACCGTATAATCGATAAGCTAAGAACGAAAATGTGCAGGTAAGCGAAAAATTTCTCTGCGAATTAAAAAATGTCAAAAGGACATTGTGTAAGTCGATTATAGATGCCAAAGTCCAAACAGGTGTCACAAGTTTTTTGCAACCAATTGCTTAATATTAATACCTAATAGTTTTACACAATAAAGCTCGTTTGTTTGCTAATAACCAACGCACTTTACACAGTAAAAACCGTTTATTTTGCATGAATGCGCATTTAAAAATAAAATTTGTACATTAATACGTGCCGTCAAAATCCCTATATGATCTTTGGTTTATGCATAACGGGGTTCACTGTGTATATTGGTAAAGAGTAAAAAGAATGTCCATCACAGTCTTGGATGTATGTTGCAATGTTTTTTTTCCAATTGCTTCAACACTTGCTTCAAATTCTGCTGAATTCCCCGGCTGTCGTTTCCGATATAATATGCATTTTAATATTAATTCCGACCTCGAGCAATCTGCTCGTTTCCGCGCTACATTTAATTGCGGCAGTCGTTACAAGTTTCCTCGGCTTTCCGCTGGTTCTTTGAAATGAAGAAATTTCTTTAGTTATATGGCAGCAAGTACAGATTTGTTTTTCTTGTTCCATTGTCGGTGCTACTTTGGTTGTCGTATCGTGTTCGTCGTTTTCTCCCAATCGCCTTTGTTATCGTACGAGCATTTATCAATATTCTTATACACAATTAAGCTTTAATTATAAAAAAAAAAAAAACCATCGACAGATCAACTTCAGCGAGAACAGAATATTAGAATTAAACCGAAAAGTTAAAACCCTATATTTTTATCAGCCAGAGTTAAAGGGATAACGAAATTATAAACCGTTTATTGCAACAAAAGATTTAGAGCAATACTATTACGTTTCGATTCTTACTATAAATTTACTTTGATTAGATAATTCAAACATTGAATAAAAAGATATGTTTCTGTGGAGTTTCATGTGCAATGATAATAATGTTTGTTAATAACAAAGATTGAGACAAGAGGTGAAATTTTACTGCTACGACAACGATTTCTTTATTGTAAGCAACTAATAATAGTAAGCAATAACTTGAAAGTTTATAAACCGATATTTATTGTTCAACGTTATTTCTACCAATACGATCGTATTTTATTCATGAATAGCAATCATAATACTGAGGCAGAAAACATGTATCGTGTTAGCGTAATCTCTATTTCATCTGCAGAGGAATTTCCAAATGGGTAGTTTTGTACGTCATACGCTGACGTATCCTTCTTATATGAAATTCTTTCTGGTCCTCGTGCCGTGCATTATCACAGTCTTGATTATGGTATGTGGCAATGAAAAATGAAAGCCCAGAATTGGGAGGAAAAAAAAGTATCAGTTGATATCAACGATTAATAACCGTCGTTGTCATTATCAAACCATGTTACCACCAATCATTGTCATATCATTCGTTTGCGGTTGCGTAAATCTTGTTTGATTCACTATTTTGCAATTTTTTACAATGGTCCAGTAGTTTCGTAATCAGTACGATAACGACATTTGCACCTGGAGCCCTCAAGGTCGCATTCATCAGATAGAATATGCTCTAGAAGCAGTAAAACAAGGTTCGGCTGCAGTCGGACTACGGTCAAAGACACATGCGATACTCCTTGTTCTAAAAGTGAGTTCATTCGGGATGCATGCGTCATCACTCTGTCTATTTTATCGGCTTCGTGTTTGTCATCTTGATTTCTAATTCTGAGTACAGCGAAACACTTGAAATTTACGCACGTATCTTTTGTGTTGTAGAGGTCTTCTGGCGATTTGTCTTCGTATCAGAAGAAGATTATCAAGATCGATGATCACATAGGGATTGCTATTGCTGGATTGACTTCTGATGCGCGTGTATTGAGGTGAGATCAAAGGAATCAGGCTTGGATATAATAACAATAATGACCACGTTACGATTTACAAGTTGATCTGGTTTTTAATATACTGATCGCATTATTTTCAATATAGTAATTTCATGCGTACTCAGGCAATGCACTCCAAGATGTTATACAACAGGCCACTTCCCGTTTATAGAATTGTGTCGGCTATTGGAGACAGTATGCATCGGCTTTGGTTTATCACAACTATATTATGACCATTTGATCAAAACTATTTTCTCCCATTTTGTTCGGCAGAGGCACAAGCGAATACTCAGCATTATGGTGGAAGACCATATGGTGTCGGGCTGTTAATTGTTGGATACGATGTGCGTAACTATTCGGTTTTAGTCTCGGGTTATCATTTTTTTTAATGTCTTGGCATATTCTGAAACACTTAATGTAACCTCACATAGGAGAAAGGACCACATCTTTATGAATTTGCTCCGTCCGGAAACTTTTTTGAATACTATGCCATGTCAATTGGAGCACGGTCTCAGTCCGCAAAAACTTATCTTGAGAAACACTATGAATTATTTGCTGATGGTAATACATTTGATTCTCGAATTGTTCGTCTATTATTTCTAATGGGATTACGAGTGATTCCATGTCTGTCACACATTTCGTTTACTGACACCATAATCACTCGCCGTCTTTTTTTCTTTCATCATATAGCCACTTTAGATGAACTTGTACGCCACGGCCTACATGCTCTACGTGATACCCTTCAGCAAGACAAAGAAATCGATACGCAAAACTGCACAGTCGGCGTAGTTGGAGAAGACCAGAAGTTTGAGACTATCGAAGGAGACAGATTACAACGATATCTTGATTTGTTGGATGGTGGAGATACAGGACAGGGCGGCGAGACTGTTGAATCGATGGACACCGAGTAAATAAAGCATTAATCTTAAAGATAACCATATGGCCCGGCGGAATGTCAGAGTATATACTACCGTGCACCTGAATCAGAAGCGTCCGATAGCTTATTATTTATACTACTTTCAAACGTGAAACAGTCGATTAAACACTGGCAATCATTACTACGGTTGGATCTATGGAAGCAACCAGTCCCAAATATTTTGCTTGCTGATAACGAACCACTAGGAAATTATTTCTATTCTTGCCATCTCTTTGTGACCCATTTTTCGGACCCGCGTTCACAGTTAAAACATGAACTCTCCAATTCGTAGTCGAAAAAGTCCGCGTGCATGTTCCCGTTTAAATGCCCGAATGAGTCGTGCCAATCATGACACACTAATACGTTGAAATGTATTAGATAGTGGTTGATAGTGAGCTAGTTCTCTTCATTGACACTCAGAAATTACTGTTGAGTTGAGTTTTCATGTGTACAGAACGTGCGCAGGAACAAGCGCATTGGCAAGGTCGATAAAAAGCGCAAAGAATTAGAAAATGCGCATGTGGTCAGATAGGAGGTGATTCGTTCACATATTCTCTTTACAGACAGCAGTTTGTCTTTACTGTTAAAATCTTCAGTTTTGACAAAAGTTATTTGATCTGCGAAATTATAGACGTTTCACTTAAGAACGTATTGTCATCGGTCATGATAATTAACAAAGCAAGTCCGTGACAACGATATCTGTAATATCTTTACGAACACCCCCACCCAACACACAAACACACAAACACGCATCCGAGATCCTCCATACATTCGTTCAATTGTAGATGCGTCCATCTTCTGCAAGTGTTGTCGTAGACAGTAGCGCCAACTATGTCTACGCAATGTATGATATACAGCAAGGTTTTATTATAGACTGAAAGTGTAATTAGAGCTCTTTTATCATAAAAATATGCACCACAAAACCCGCTAGATGTCTTTTTTAACATTGACCAACCATTATTTTTCTCTCTACTATAGCATTATGCGCAGTCACTACAAAAAATTTCTTAATGATGGAGGTCTTCTTTACCCCATTATGAAAGCCACAAACTTGGCTTGATGAATTAGCGCCGTCGAAAAACTTATGTGATTTCAGACTTCTCTCCGTCAGACAACTTTTTGATTATATTGTACACGCAAGTGATGTTACAGTACTTTCTGTACATTTGCATGGATACCACTTGGGTATAAGATTGTCCTGTACAAGATATACATACGTGACTGAGGATATTTCATCGTTGTGCTGCAGCGCCCCTTGCTTCTTCTAATGCCTCAAAGAGCTTGGTAAGTATTTTGTTAACGTCACTATTGACTTTAGCATGTTCCTTCGTTAATATTTCTAGTACATTTTTTAAATCTTCTATAGTGTCATGCTGTTGCTTATCTTTGCGTAAGAGGTTAATGTCGTCCTTCATTTGGTGATAAACTAGCGCGCGATCGCGATGCCTTTTTATGTCATTCCCAAATGACTGGTATACGTAAGAGAAAGGTCTGATTATAGCAAGACTCATAGTAGCCACCAGCATCTTGGCAAATAACGCATTTGTCTCGTCATAGTTAAACGAAACTATGAAAATACCTGAGTAAAATATATAGCCATGTACCATTCTTGAAATCACTGCAAGCAACTTCACGATGGAAATCTCTTTACTATTACTTGGAATGGTTTCGTTTGCGTGTCCTCTACGATACCACCACCATACGCCAAGCCATAGACAGGAGACCAGCTGAAAGATGCAAAGCCCTGCTGTTGAATGTAGACCAATAGATGGACCCTGAATAATATGATAAAGCTCGAACAGCATTCCGATTGGAAGGAAAAGAGTACCGTATCCAAGAAACAAGAACACTCTGATTGGAATGCTATCCTCATCGTCCGCATCGTCCTCATCGTCCTCACCGTCCTTATCGCCATCCTTGTCGCCTTTCAATTTACATACTTTCACAGCGAAAAATGCAGTTATATAAATTGCTAAATATGGGATGCCAAATAATTTTGTCCAATGCCAACATGAGTACCGAATCAGATGAACGAGCGTAAACACGCTAGCCGAAACGTAAAAGAGAAAGTCGTCAACAGAAGCGACATAACGATTCTTGTGTCGGTAAAAGATCTCAAGAAATACCGTCATGATCGTTACGTACATCAGAGAAACGCTGTCATAATAGTCATTAGTAGTAGCCAGTTCGTCTTTATTTGGAGGCGGAGCTGCATACGTTCCTTCAGCAAAGAACAAGCTGTAGAATAATATTCGAGTAGACGCCTTTGAAAATATTTTGAAACTAAGTGACTGAGTGTTTGAGAATGTTTGCTTGAAAGAGCCATAAACGAGACGAATAGTTGTATAGCACAAGCAGGTGAACAACCAGTTCCAACAAAGAGCAAACATGGTACCAAAGTTGTGATTAAGAAACTTGAACTTGGTAGTATCGAGTATCAGCATCAAAACCAGAGTTGCTCCCGTTATTAATTTCCAGATATGTGGACGAAACGTGAATAATTCCGTGTACATAAAGGTAAATAAAGTTGTTCTTGAATTGCGATTTGTATTAGAACAAAAAAGTTGTTCTTGAATTGCGATTTGTGGTAGAATAAAAAGTTGTTCTTGAATTGCGATTTGTAATATAGTAGTACGTATCACAAATTAAGAACAATATGTAATACAGGGAAGCATAACAATGAACAGCTTAAATTGAGCTTTAGCGAGCACCTCGTTGTGAGTAAAAAGTTCCTCGCGATCGTATAGTAATGAGATTACTAATTGAGCGATTAAGTGATAGTTCGACAACATTTATAATTTCGTATTGTTTTCAAAATTTGTCCTTGACGAGTGTCTGTGTATGGTATGTAACTTATGCTCTTTTATCATAAAACATATACAATTAACTTTTTCCCATCTACACCACCACATTATGAAAGTTTGCGCAACTTGGCTTTGGTCAATCGATCTATCCGGGAATTTATCCGACATGTCAAATAGAAAGTTTTCGTGTTGTGTAACGGGATCATTGTGTGACTGATAGTCTTCGTACTACTACTACGTTATTTTTTATGTCGTCTCCAAATGTAAGAGAAAAGTCGGATTATAGCAAGCCTCATAGTGGCCGCGAATAACGAATGTGTATCGACACAACTATACGAGGAAATACCAAAATAAATAAGTAACCATGCATTGCAAACGACTTCCTGTATAGAATCTCTTTGATAGCATAGCCATATGCAAAGCGACCGGCTGAAAAAGGTAAAACTTCACCATTGCTTTTACACCAATATCTGTGTCCTGATGGTTGTTATCATAAAGAGTGCCCAGCATCATGACCGTCATGTGCAACACATCAAGTCTCGTAAAGAAGAACGCAATTATATAAACCATTAAATATGCGGTAAAAAACTTACGTTAGCTGGTGGAGCTGCATACGTTCCTTCAGCAAAGAGCAAGGTGTAGAGTATCTTTGAAAATAGCGTTTGCTTGAAAAAGTCATAAATGAAATGATTGATTGTATAAGAGGAGAACAACCAGTTCCGACAAAGAGCCAAAATTGCGACCAAGAAACTTGAACTTGGTAATGGTGAATATCAGCACTAATAACAAAGAATTAATACACAGCAATGTCCGGTTTAATAAAGCACGTTTGATAATAGTGCCGGTCTTTATTATTCCAAAACCTGATGTAAGAATAAATAGCCGTCTTTGGCCTTGCAGCTTAGCCTGTTTATACATCAATTATTGTTTAAGAGAATGTATAACCCTCTGTCTTGTATTGGCAAGTGAAAAGTGGTATTAAAGTCAACATGCAATAATGAACATAAAGATTCTAATGGTCTTGTAATCGTGTACAATGACTCCAACATTTTCTGACCATCCATGAAGAAATTATGTGTTGCGACATCCGAGATTTTTCAAATGAAGCGATGATGAGAAAAACCCTCATGTTTAGTTCACAAGACATGAATGTGATAGTCCAGTGCTTATTTAAGTATAACCCATATTGTATTTAGGACAGCAAAAAAGATTAAGTATATATACAGTATACAGAATATCTTTAACAACAAAAGTTATTGTGCAAGACCGATCGATCTATTTTACAAAAACATTGATATTAATGTAGCTTTAAGATTGATTTCTATTTAATCATGACACAATCTGTCGTATTTGCATAATAATAGGTATAATATTTTCAGCCAACATCATCAATTGACGATAGTTTCCCACGTGATAATACATGCGACAATTTTATCAAATGGTAGCTCCTAATAAAAAAAATTTATTTAGATTCTTTGCTTTATATTTCGTTTCCATCATGAGTTATTGTTAATGTTTGTTTTATTGATTTTTATTTTCATTCTTGGTAAATTTCATAATCGAGTGATGAGCGAACAATATTTGGTAGGTTGGTTCGACATTCCGGTTCTAAGTTATCATGTACTTGTCATTGCTTCCTGCTCTTTTGAATTCCTTCGGGAGTCCGATTTTACAAAGCTAAAGAAAGACTTATCATTTTTTACCTTCGCTTTCTTCGTTTTCCATGTCTATACTGAAAGAAATGAATTTTTGGTCAGAAAAATGCCAGGAAGCATTTGATACGTCAAAACGGAGTTTAATCTCTTCACCCATATCAGTATTAGTATATCCATCAGACAAATGCAAATTCACGATTACCGCAGACGCATCAGATTACGCGATTGGAACCGGGCTTTTTATGTGTTCGCTTTCGGTCTGAGTTTTTTATGCGTTCCATATGCTTCGGCTCCAGCCGCCACGTTTTTGGACGGCCGTTCGCGTTAGCGTTTTTTATACATCCTTTCTTTACATTCGAATCAAAGACAAAAATACCGTCTAAACCCTCCAAACGCAAAATTAAATAACTGCGTAAATTCTTATCTGCAAGATCAGTATTATATGGTCACATTACTTTACAATAGGCTTGTGTGAAGGAGTCATCACCCTCAATCATGGAACACATCTGGCGGAACCTCGGAAAAATATTGGGGAGATTCAACCGGCTCGAGATGTTTCCTCCCTTGAAACTCGCTACTCTCATCATTTTAAAACAATAAAGTTTCGCCCGAACTGGGCTTTGATAAAATGTAAAATTATGCAATTAATAGTGACTAGTAACTCTATCTAATGAATATACTAGCATTTTCCCGAATATAGTATTCTATTGAGCGAGACTGAAAGGTTACAGTATTTTTTTCTGGGTGATACGCGAATACATTGGTTCCCAAGACTTCATTGGCTTGCTCGGGCTTATTGAAAAAATTCTCAAATGCAGTACGGCTAAGCTCTTTAGAAACCAGCAAAGCACTGACGATACGTTTTCCTACTTCATGATATTCATGGGTTTCAAGAAGTTTTGCAGTTCTGAATTTGTCCTCGACTGTCACTAAAATTTCGTGTTCAATAACTACAAAAGCAATAAAGATATTCAAATAATGAAATAACAATATCTTTTGTTAAAGCAGAACCACGTAATGTAAAATATCAAAACTAATTCTACCTTCAATGGATTGTCCTTGCTGATATTCATCTGCTACAGACTTTAGATCTATAATGCGTCCACCAACCAAATCATATAATTTCTCTGCGTCTGTAGTATCGATCTTGCCTTCCTTTACAGTCTTGATTCCACGCCTGTTGATCAGGTAGCGGAAATAATATAATTATATTATTTCCGCTTAGTCCAGGTTATTCCACTCAGGTATGTGTCGTGATCCAATTTTTATGACACAGACTAAGGTGTCATGATTCAAATTTTATGACACGGACCTGAGACGTTTATAGTCTACATATCGGGTGCTATATAGATTACATTTGTATCGCCGATTGTGAACCGCTGAGACATGCGCCACTATGGCGTGCGTTTTACATTTTAGGTCACGGCTCGAGTGACGTGCATTTTGCTTTTTACAACACCAAGATGGGATAGTTATAGTCTACGCATCAGGTGCTATATAGGTCGCATTTGTATCGCTGATTGAGAACTGCTGAGACATGTGCCAGTATGACGTGTGTTTTGCATTTTAAGACACACTCGAGTGACGTGCATTTTGCTTTTTACGACGCGCACCAAGGTGGCATAATGTACACTGGTTTGGTAACTGTGGCCGATTTCCGTCGTTAGGCCACATGGGCAAAAAAATATATCTGACGATGCATCCAATTATATATCGTCACATTGTGAGGGTTAATGCTATCAAACATGTATACGCAATTGCTATCGATATATACATCATAAATGTTATCGGGGAATGCTATGAGGCAGAGCCTCGAATCTCTGATTCATCAAATATGCGTTGCGTAATTGCTATCAATTAACGCTATCTAATTGCTATCGCGTATGCTATATACACGCTATCTGGTTATGTTATATACACGAATCTGGTTATGCTGTCGAGTCATGATATCGGGTATATGTTATCAAATATGTATACGAAATATATCGCGCAAACGCTATCGGGCTATGTTCTATATACACTATCTGGTTATGCTATCGAGTACGTTACATAAATACTATCGAAAAGTGTTATCCAGTTATACTACGAGTATATTGCATATATACTATCTATTGATATATACATCATAAATGTCATCGGGGGGTGTTATCAAATATGCTATCATGTAAATGCTATACCAAAATGTATTGATATTTTTGTCCTTAGTTGACCCCGATTTTGATTGCCGGAATTTTTTATACCAGTTAGCATTAGAAATATGTTCCGTGAATGTGGGTAGTAAAAAAATGGTCAATTTCGACTAAAGATATAAAAAGGCGGGTGTATAACTATAAATAAATCTGAAGTTACTTACTCCGAAAGCATATCCAAAAATATGCCATTAAATGGGTAGGTTTCTCCCATAATTATTATATAATATTACTGAAGTTACCTACCCCGAAAGCGTACCCGAAAACATATCATGAAAACGGGTAGGTTTCTCCCATATTTATTATATAATGTTACCGAAGTTACCTACCCTGGAAACATACTCAGAAGCATATCATCGAATGGGTAGGTTTTCTCTCACAATTCTTATAATATATTACTGAAGTTACCTACCCGAGAACATATCCAAAACATATCGTTAAATGGGTAGGTTTCTCCCATATTTATTATATAATGTTACTGAAGATACCTACCCCGAAAACATATCCAAAAATATATCATCAAAACGGGTAGGCTTCTCCCGTATTTATTATATAATGTTTCTGAAGTTTCCTACCATGATCACATATACTATCAAATATATTCGAAAGCATAGCACTGAAATGGGTAGGCATCTTCCATAATTATTATAATATATTACAGAAGTTACCTACCCTGGAACATACCCAAAAATATACCATCGAAATGGGTAGGCATCTTCCATTTTATAACCGGAGTTATATACCAAAAGTATTCACTAATCGAGATCGCGATTCTTTTCATTCATCTTACTAAAACTCGATGCATTTTTTTTATATCGTTATGTACCAACTGAAAAAAATAATTTAAACTTTTCCAAACTATATTGTAATAATATAATCGAACAAAGATTGATACATACCAATAAAAAAACCAATTACCAAAAATGAGCACACAAAACGCACAACAAACGCGGTACGGGGGCGGGGAAACCGATGACTATTCAAGTGACTCAGATGTCTATAGTGATAATATATCTGAATGTGAATCAGAAAATTGCAGTGATTATGGTTCCGACTATGAGCCAGATATTGAGACCAGTACTATTAAGTCTCCGTCATCCCAACCCCCTAAAGTAGAAGAACAAAAGTTCAATAAGACATATATTCTACGGCAGGAAAATTCAACGATAAATTTACCAAAAAAGACTTCCTAAATAAAATCTGCGAAATTGCCTCCTCGCCTGCTAGAGAGATATGTCAAACATTAAAGGTTCGTTGGAAGATGTATATTTATGGGACTATCTCTTACGGTTGAGAATATCCGGAAAATGCATAGTATATATGCCTAAAATTAATTATCCGAACATTAGTTGTTTTTTCCGATTAAAGATTATAATATACATTCTTGAGAATGGCAGTGGTACCACAGCAACTAAATATTTTTGATTTACCGGAATTACTAGAACAGATCTTATATTTTTTAGAAATTGATCATTCCCTATATCCTGCTTTATTTGTTAACCGTCTTTGGTACAAGTGTGGTGTACCACTACTATGGAGAATAATTGAGTTAAAAGGTAATGATATCCATTATGGAACAGTATTTTCCAGTTGAATATAATTATTGTGAACGATATCGAACGCGGTTAAAATGTAACTTTTTATTTATTAGGTAATCAAGATGATGACGAGTTTTGTCAAACGGGGAAGAAAATTCGAGAATACTATCAAAAAACTTTTGAGAGGGGGAAGTTCGTCGATATGAGTGAGTATTTCACTGAGTATTTGTTAAGTGGTTATTGTATCTGAAGGTATGCTGCCACTAGGTGTAAATCGGAGTTTCTGAAAGCGCATCGTGGCCACAGCTTGTAAGTTATTGTATTAGGTAACTATTTAGTGTAGATATCTGAAGTACGCTGCCACTAGGTTGGAGTTTCAACGTACATTTGCGAGACTCCATACCGAAAAGCACCGGGTCTGTGGTGAATAGGATACATTAACCATTTGAATTGAAAGCGCATCGTGGCCACAGCTTGCGAAAGTCGCCAGTCAGGTACCCAACCCTGGCGTACGGTGGACGGCCTGCTGTGAACGTTCTTCAACTGGTTAATAACTATGATGATACATTTACTCATTTTCTATTTATATCCATAGGCATGAACCGGGCGATGGAGGTGTTGATTTGAGTGGGTGGTTTAGAGGGTGTTTCCTAATGATCCAGTGTAAGGTAATTATCTAATACCGTCGTCACTTATTTCAATTGTGTTTAAGATTTAAATTTTTATTTATATTATAGGTGGGGGAAGGTGGGTGTCGTATGAAGATGTACAGAGATTGGAGGGGGGTTTTATCGGGTACCAAGAAAGAGGTTACTATTATTGTTATTATCTTGGTAGCCCGATCCAAAAAAAGATTCACTAAATGTGCGGAAAATAGAGCAAAAGTAGCCAAAGAGTCGGCCGGATATAAACATCATCTTAACAGATGAGCATAACTTATATTCGGATTTGATTGAATACATCGAGTCAAATAGACTTGATAGCTCTAACAATATAAATTTGAGGAATCAGCTTGTTGAAGCTCGCGAAGAATTTAGAGCAGAGCTTTCTGAACTTCGACAAGAAACTCACATAAGGCTTTCTTGTTGAATAATCGTATAAATGCGTCACTGTCACAGATGATTCACCAAATTTGCAGTTAGTAATTGGCTGGTTTTATTGAAAGTAATTAATTATATTAAACATCCACCTCAGCTGTGCTTAATAAAGGACACGTAAAATTAAAGCTTCAATATACTAATAAATTTTCCGGAATATTTCATTCGAGGACCAATCAATTCAACACCAGTAATAGATGCCCACATATTATTAGTACGCTTTGAACGCAAATACTTCACTGGATATGGCATCGATTACACCCAGAATTTCTGAATATCTCTATATATAGTTAGCATATAATCAAATTGTCTTTTTTTTTATTCACCGTTTTCGGTTTTTTTCCCCCACAATATATCACATCAATCACGACTTATTAACCCAATGCCAACCCAATGCCAACCCAATGCCAACCCAATGCCAACCCAATGCCCAAATTCAATCTTCTAAATACCAATCCTACAACAATCCAACCATCACAAGAGCTACAAAGAACAATCCATTAATCATCGTCATAGATACTCCTGAACCCTTCTGTAAGCTGCTCGCAGTCGCTGTTTGGTTAGACGACGACGACGACGACGCCTCACCCAACGGCTTGGGCGTATATGTTACATTATTCAATTCCGCTACGACTGAAATGATGTTAACACCTTGACTGCCCTGATCGTAGAAATCAACCGATACATAGTTGGGAATCCGTCCGAACGCCTTTGTACATTGCTGTGCATGCTGTTCGAGATTGGGTCCGTTGGTCGAGCTTGCGGATCCTGGTTGAGGAATTTCGACATTCGAATTGCCCAACGCGCCGTAGAGGAAGTGGTTGATGTTATACAGACCAATATTAGCGGGCGAGCCACCTTGTGGACGGTCAACGACACACTTCCAAGCGTTCGGGTCCGTGGTAGTGAAGGGCGTATCGATCACGTAAGTAAACTCGTCGTGAAGCCTGCATGAAGAAAGGAAAGTGAATTAATTGATCAGTTGTTAGCATCGGTTACATGCTTATTCAAGATTTGATTGCTAGGTAATGATTAGTTCCTTGCAACAAGTAAGCAATAATATGTTCGCGTCTTTTCCAACTCAATCCCCCCTTTCTAATTGCTTACCATGGCACACTGGGCGAAGCTCCAGTATCGATGAAATTAATCAATGTCTTCCCCTTGCTAATTAATTCGGAAAGACTGGGCCATTGTTGCTGCCCTGTTGGTTGTGTATATGCAAATTTATCCAATCCTGCCTGCTGGTAGGCCGTATTATATGTGTTAGCATCTAGATTTCCTGCATTCTCCCAAATAATTGTTATCACTTCATTGGGGTTCGCTCCCAGAAAATCAGCGATTGTTTTTAACACGGTTACGGCGTTACCCGCATTCTCTAAAAGACACGAGGTATGGCATAACTGAACGCCAGAGCCGACCGGTGGCTTATGTCCATCAAGCATGAATGAACGGATACCATCGTTGAGCTGAGTGCTGATTGGAAAGTTTTGATTCGCTGCGGGATTGCCTTTAACAGCCGAATAAGAATTGTGAGTGCCGGCGAATGCGATTTGATGATATGGTCTCGAGCAGAGTTCGCTATGGCCGTTGCATTGCTGGGATAGGGCGGGTGATATGAAGAAAAGGGTTGCCAAGGCTGTAATTATATGGAATGATCGCATGGTTGACTTTTGGTTTGCTTGGATCGAATTTGCTTTGTTGGTTGAACTGCCCGGCCAGGTATATATTATATCAAAGTATATAAATATTCTATAACTTTTTGTATATGTATAAAATATGTTTGAATTATCTAAATTGGTTGTTGTGCATATGTTGTTTGCGAGTTTAGAGTGCTATTGACGGAAGTATGTGAGGGTGATGAGTAAAGCTTGCTCACAGGCCGTATTCCCACTATATAATATAGTCCCCAGATATGTATCTATCTATGTATATATATGTATATATGTATATTATATAGTATACCGAAACTGTTATGCCTTTTCCCAGGGATGGATACCAAAAGAGTGTGGTGGTTTGTAAACTGTTCAACAGTCTTATTATATTACTGAAGGTGGAAGGGGTCTGAGGACAAAAAGAAATGAACAGAAATAGTAAACGCAATTAAAGGAGATATTTGTAGACCCTTTCCAGGGTTGATTGACTTCTAATTGGGGGAAGTATAAATAGATGCGCACAAATGGGGAATATTCAGCGTATTACAAATTTAGTAAGACCATGACCAGTAGAAATAATGAAATAAAGATCATAAGCGTCAACAAGAGCCCGACTCGATGCTTACTAAAGTGGTATCATCTATCACTAGTTTAAGGGCAACTGATTGTACTTGTCCATTCTCATCGCCCATCTGTGTATCATTCAAATGCCAAGACTTTGGACAATAAATGGTTGGTACTGTTTTGGTTGTGAAACAAAAGGTTTCAAAGCTTGCCTCCGCGTTGTTGGGCAGGCAGGCAATGTACAATGACTGTGACTATGGAGCTAGTAATCTACAAGTACTAGTAAATATCCTACGTATAAAAACAAACATCTTGTCGTTGTCGTTTCGTTTTGGCAGAATTTCAGCATATGAAAGAGTATTCCAATTCGTCTTTAAAATCTCACAATAGTGATCGGAATGCATGCCAAGTCTTTTCAGCCTTAAATGTTATTGTGCTTGCCTCCCGTTCGGGGGAACTTGCCAGTTTCAATCTTGAATGGGCATCGGTACCTTATCTCGATGCGCAGTACAGTATATCACATGGTGTAGAACTTGTCTCAACATACAAGAGTACAAATTAATTGCACGCAATCTTTGTGGACTTGCAACTTATTATAAACCGCCCCTAACTACAATCAAACAAGAAGGTTTCAGTTATTATACTTTATTTGGAGAAAGTTAATAACCGAGTCATTTGATTCAAACCAGCCAATCATGGAAGTTTCCAACTAGCTGTTTATGTCAATGTGAATGGGTTTCAAAACACCGAAACCTGCCTTTGTGCATCCACTTTTTATATGACGTTATTACAATAATCGATCTTTTAATAATCGGTTTCCAAATCGGGCCTAAATATCATATAATATATTAATGAGCGTAATTTTGCCTTTGTCAGAGAAATAATGCCGATTGACTGGTATCATGGTTCAACAAGCTAACTAACAGCAGTAAAGCAAACGCAACCGTTATTACTGTGAGATTGAATTAATTATATCGCTGCTAGGAATTTCAACTATCATCTCCTGCATAGCCAGGCGCTTTCCAGTAATTATACAGTACATGTATTTCTCAGCTGTACATGGCTCATGTAGACAATAAATTCTTGTAATCCCCAGCCACCAAACGCTGGCGTGACGGAATGTACCGGTAGAATATGCCTCGCATCTTGATCTCTCTCATCTTAGGATTAAAGTCTGGCTGACAATTGCGGTATGTTCAATTTAACGATTGCCTGTCTGAATATACGCAGTTGTATTCCCATGTGTAAATTGACCTATTGGAATTAACGACTTTGCCTACCCTTTTGTCGAATAAACATAGCCATGCAAAAAGTCATACGCGGGATCTGTTTTGTTTGCACTGTTTAATGATTAACCGAGAATATTCATTTTCACAAGGTAAAGCATGCTGTGCGTCCAAAAAAAAAAAGACTTTAGGGGGTGTATCGAAGGTTTCGTGCAAAATTGTTTGTATTCGTCAAAGTTTACATCTACAACGGAATTAACATTGTGGTAGCGGCATCTTTAGTTGCCTTAGCAGTGATTGATAAAAAAGAAATGGGACGTATTCATCACGAATCTAGACTTGACTTTACGTATATGCTCAGCTCTACAACAATTATGTGTAATCACTCACTTTGTTGATATCAATGGTCGTTCTTGTATGACATATCTACTAATGTATGGTTGGCAGAGATATAATCATTCGAGGTGAATGCTCATTGGCCAAGTTCAAATATTAAAATGGGGGTTCCATTTATTTATAGTTATGACGCATGAAGATTGTCTGTTTTGTTGGACGAACGTCCAGGATAAGTTACCATATGTTTGTTTATATCAACAAGATCGGTATCAGTACTTGCGGCTATGAAACTAGATATGTCATTAGCAGCATTTTAGTGAAATTATTGCAACTCGGCTCTCAGTTGTTTTATATGCGATTGGGTTGTTGTTTGGAAGTGGCATAATTGCGGTCTGATGCCACGTGTTTCACTAGTTGTTGGGATGGATGCATTCAATCGAAAGTGAGAGCATTATCTTGTCAAACTGTGTAGAGTATTACGCCACTGGCTGGCTGTTGCTGATTACTAATTGATAATTACAAACATGTTCGGGTTTGATATATTAATGTAATGTATTTTAATTTGTGATGGTAAATCCTAAATGCAAGAATTCGGGTCCCTGCATTGGTTTACGTCATGTAACGTATCAAAATCGCCCCCCACAAAAAAAGTGCGGAGTTTGAAGTGACGTGATAAATATATTGCTCGTTGACATTAAGCTACATTTGGGTTCATTGTCGAATTTCGCGAATATATATGCATTTCTCTTGACATTTATGTTAAACGGAATTACCAAGTAAATTTTTAGTCATTGCTTAGATAAAGTTCCGAATCCGTTTCACTAAATCACTAATATTCACTCCACTTGCTAAACTTGGAATTGCAATATTTCCATATAAATTACCCGATTAATTGAGGATCTACAGACAACCATCTTTGATTGGAAAGTGTGACAAAAATTCCCTAATTAAGCCCCTGCTATTAAAGTTCGCGCAAATCACTTTTGTCAATATTTAAGGTAAAGATCATTCAATACTTACTAACCAAAGAAAATATGTACCTTCTCGGTGAATTCCCTATCAAGCGGGCCATTGTCTCCAACATTAGACGAGCGTCCGGCACACGGTGAGCCGATATAATGCCATTACCGTATTTACATTTATTACCTGTTGTTAAAAAATTGCCTCTTTAGCCAATATCGCCGTCCATGCGCTCTACAAAATCGTTTGTACTCTCAGGTCGCTCGTGACTCCAGCGAAACGCCAACTACATTTTCCAACCAGAGTCGTATTCCTCGACTTCCCATTCCCACACTTCAGGAGACAGCCGAGCGATATAAGAGAAGTTTATTACCAATACTGGGTTCTGAGGATTATGCTCGTGCTGCTAAAGCTGTCGACGAATTTGTTAGTCCAAATGGTCTAGGAGAGGTTCTTCAACAGAGACTGCACGATCTAGATAAGCAAGAACCGGTAATTATTGCTCTCGGATAATCTTTTTTTTTTTTTTTTGGACGAGTTCTTTTGATCCCTGCTGATATTCATTCGATTTTAGCATAATTGGTTAGAAAAGATCTGGTTGGCCAAAGCATATCTCGAGTGGCGAGACCCTTCTCTTATAAATGTCAACTGGTGGTGTGAATTTCGTGATCCTGCAGGTGGCATTCTCAAAACTCCTCCACCTCGTGGGGAATTTTCTGATTTGCAACTGTCCAGAGCAGCGGGAATCATATCGAATTTATTGACTTTTAATGATGGAGTGAATAGGTACGGCAACGATTGAGTGAACAAGGGCTTTTAGTTGAAACTGTATCGCATAGCATGTTCTGTAACGTGCTCAATAATCGTTATATGATACTCTTATCTCAGTGAAAAATTCCCCCCCGAATCGACAAGACAGGGCCCGCTATGTATGAATCAGTACAAAAACCAGTTTGGCACTACTCGCATCGCCGACTCGCCAGCAGATAGACTAATTACAACGTGGCCAGCGACGGCCAAGCATATTATTGTTCTGACGAGAGATCATATATTTAAAGTTCAAGTTCTCGGAGAGGGCGGCGCGCGAGTCCCGATTAAAGCAATAGAACAGTATGTAAGAAATTTTTTATCGGTTTTCAAAAGGAATAATGTACAACATGCTAATTGATCTGTTCTCATAGACAATTGAGAACCGTGGCGACTATGATGAAAACTGCACAACAAATAGATTCCCCCGTTGGTTTATTAACAGGCGAGCACCGAGATACTTGGGCAGCGGTAACTACTTTCACTTTTTGTACCTTGTTGGTATCCACCCTCATGGAGTACTTAATTCTATCTTGTTAGGCGAGAAAAGCTCTAGAGGATCTTTCACCTGAGAATCGCGTTTCGTTTAACGAAATCGATACTGCATTATTTGCCGTTTGCCTCGACGATTACTCTGTTGATACCAATATTGATATCTCGCATCATAATCTTTTCCATGCGTTCAACGGCAGAAACCGCTGGTTTGACAAGTCACTTCAAATCATCATACAGAACAACGGTCGTGCCGGCGTGAATGGAGAGGTAAGCCCATCGAACCATGGTCGTATATTTGTTGTAGTATTCAGAACAATGACAAATGACAGTCGATTGAATATAGCATTCACCGGCAGATGCCGTCATCCCTGGTAACATTTTCGATAATATTTTGACAATGTAAGAGAATTTGACTGTCTGAACGTAGCGTCTATATATCTCTGTTTTTCCATAACCACAATGTTTTCTCAAAATGTGGTCTTATCAACCAGAGAGCCACAAGATCCTCAGAATGCATCGACGGCAATTACACTTCCGCCACCGCAACCTCTTCAATGGGTCCTTGACAACAAATTAATCAACGTCATTAGCAATGCAAAAGCTAACATTCAAAAGGCCATT